TGGCTCTGCACACTGGGAGAGACCTCCTGGCTCCTTGCTGTGCATGCTGACATTCCAAGTTTGTTTAAGATAGGATCTGTGTAGCCCAGGCTGGCCTCAAACTCAGACTCATCCTGCTTCTCCCTCCCGAGTGCAGGATCGCAGGCCTACGCCCGCACTCCTGGCTCGATGTTTGGCTCGAAAGCTCATTAGCAAATACTCCCAGTCACTCGGGGGTGTTTGTAATCAGCAGGCATTCACTAGGCACCTGGTATACAGCAGGTACTTTCTATGTTCTCGTTTTCTCTGTGAGGCCTTGAGGGCTTCGGGAGGCAGTGAGACTTGGGAGGGATGGTAAGGGTCCAGGCTTCTATTGGGTTCCTATGAGTCTGGCTGGTGGTGGGGCTGAGGTGTTAGAAGGTCCCTGCCACCAACGAGGGTGTTTGTCGTCTCTTGAGCCTGCTGAAAAGGCAGCTTTGCCACCAAGGACACTGCATTGATCTGATGGGCATTGATTTATTTCGTAGGTTCCTCAGGGGTGGTCACCGGCTTTGCGACTGTTTAGGATGACAGGTAGTGCTTGGACAGGTGGGGAAGCTCGGGATTGGTGGGTTTGTAAGACCCCTGTGACTCAGGGATCCCCAGGGGTCAAGGTGCTATGAGTACTGTTTCTCTCTGGCTCTCTCCGTGCTCCTATTAGCTCTTCTTGCAGTGGGGTCTTGGATCCCTTGCTGTCTCAGGGAAGGGGCTGCTCTGCTGTCACCCCTGAGAGTCCCCAGACAGAGAAGGTAGGGTGGTTGTGTCCCCATTGCTCATCCTTACATACCAGTCCAGAGCTTTGTTTCTGACTGTGAGCTATCGATTTCTCCATTCTCTTGTGAGGACAGCATTCAAACCCCACCTGTTTTATAACCCAGAATTCCCAGTCTGCCCTCCTGGGGTCTGCATCTCTCCTTCCATTTCCCCAGAACTCAGCGAGGCTTGCTTGAGCTCTAAGCTCCTTGGTGCATATGACCAATGGTGGGAAAGTAGTTATTGGGCCAGGCCACCAAGCTGCCAGTCCTGGAGGCGCTGACTCCCCTGACAGCTCCTCCCTCACTGCATCCTTGGCCTGGTTCGGCTTCCAATAGGCTCGGGGCCTTTCATCCGTGAGCCAGCGGGAATGTGTCAGGAGTAGTGGGTGTCCACGCTGCGCTGACCTGACTTCTGAGCCTTGGAGCGCTTGGATGAGTCCCAGGTCCTGCCATCTGGGATTTCCCCTTGTGCCCGAGGCCAACAGAAGCAGAAGGACCCAGGGGCTGGACCTGCTCTTCTGCCTGCAGGGCCTCTGGGCCCTGCTCAGGGTAGCGGAGCTACAAAAGAAGTAGTTGGTACTTGGAGTTGCTCAGCCTGACATGCAGTGTGACTTTGGGGAAATCACATTGGCCCTCCAGACCCACTTCCTGGGCTCTCCTGGATGGACCGTAAATGACGGTTAAGGTCATTTCCTTAGGGAGCCTGGTATGAAGCAGTCACAGTGACTGCCAAGTTCATCACTGTGGTATGTGCTAGACTGGGTGGGTGGAAGGCTGGGCACCAGCTGGGGAGGGCAAAAGGTGGAAGCTTTTGGAATGGGTGGCAGTTGAGTGAAGTTGTGAAGGGTGGGCAGGGGTTTGCCTCAGAGAGAGGGTAAAGCCATGCAGTGGGTAGGCTCGTAGGTAGCAAGAAGCTTAGTGTGCCCTGGGACCAGCAGGAGATTCAACCGTTGAACTCATTGAGATCAGAATCCAGGAGGCCTTGGGTGTCAGGCTAAGGGGGTGACGGGGAGCCAGGGAAGACTTTAGAGCAAGAGAGAGACAGACATATGTAGATTACTCTGGAGGAGATACAGCAGTTTAGGAGCAGGAAAAGACAGGGGTAGTTGTCCATGGGCACGGCCTCTGCAGCTGGCTACTTGAAGGAAATCTGCTCTCCCCTCCCTACCAAGACAGGGCCTCAAATAGGCTAAACTGGCTTCAGACACATAATGTAGCTGAGGAAGACCTTCAACTCTTAACTCTCCTGCCACTGCCTCCCGAGTGCTACTGGGTCCACAGGAATTGGCTACCATGCTACCATGCTTGGCTTTATGTGGTTCTTGGGATGAAACCCAGGCCTGTGTATGTACGAGTGAAACACTGCCAACTGAGCCGTATCTCCAGCTCCACCCCACCTTTGCTTGTTTTTGGTTTGAGTTTTGGAACAAGGTACTTCTATGTAGCTCTAGCCAGTCTCGAACCTCCTACTTCAGCCTCCCTAGTGCTGGCATTATGGATGTGACCACTACACCTGGCTGAATCTGTTTCCCTTTGTATCTTATTTAATTTCTTCTTTTCTATACGGGCTTATCAAGGAGTCTGAGGATTCAGTGCCCGGCATCACATGGGACCCTCCAGAGAGGCAGGGACCAGAGCTGCAGCCCTAGGAGAGGCTGGGACTGGGTCAGGGATGTGCCCCGCACCCAGGGAGGCAGGGACAGCATTTCAGAGGCAGGACACATGACGGGGAGGAGACATAGACCAAGGAGCCTGACAGGTTTGGTGTAAACAGATCCCTGCCATGTGACCCAGCAGAGGCCTTGAGTTTCCCCGTCTGTAAATGGGCCTGCCAGATGCACTTGGGTTTGGGTCTCCAGGACGGGCAGAGGCAGCAGAAACTGGGTTGTGAGGGGTGGGTGTGGGACAGGGAATCACAGGGAAATGGGGATGCTCGCTGGTAATTAGAACGTTTGAACTTCAAAAAAGTTAATTAACGATGAAGCTGCTGCTGGAGCCATGCTTGGGCTCAAAGGGGGCCTGGCAGCAACTGAAATTAATTGCAGGCTATGGCGGGAGAGTGGCAGCCAGGCCAGGGACAGGAAGGAGCAGGGCAGGGATGGAGGCCTTGGAAGTAGCTTTCAAGGTGAGCAGGGTCTGGGAAGCAGAGGGGTCTGTTGCCATGGAAACTAGGCCAGCTCTCTTAGCAGGCAGAAGGGGCCCAGTTCACTGTGGTCGGGATCTGGCTGTGGTGGGCTGGTGTGGCTTCATGGTGCTGGAGCTGGGACTGGGTTGGTGTGGTCAGGGCCCCGAGAGAAGATCATTTATTCATTCGGCAAGCCTTGGCTGAGCATCTACGTGCAATTAGGGTTTGAACTGAGAGTGTGTATCCCAGCGATCCGAGCTCTGCCCTAGAAGTGGGCAGAGACAATGAGCATTATCTCTGTGGTCTAGAAATGCTTGAGAGAGATGTCAAGCTGGAGGGGTGTCAGGGAGGGGCTTCTGGAGTTGAAGATGTGGGTAGAACTCCTCACAGGAAGTGCCCATAAAGGATTATTCCTGGGGAGTCTTGGGAAGTGTCTCCCCAGTGGAAGGGACAGTTCTTGCAGAGGTCCTGAGGTGGCATTTGCCTGAGACCAGACAGAATAAGCAGGAGGCCCCAGGTTGGAGGAAGGCATTCAGGGGAAGGAGAGGAAGGTAGGGTCTTGCTGGCCGGCTTTGGGAAGGGCTTCTGTACTTATGCCAGGAGAAACTGGGAGTCATAGCAGGACTCTGAGCAGAGGAGGAAACATCTTCCTGATTTTTTTGTTTGTTTATTTGTTTTTTCAAGACAGGGTTTCTCTGTGTAATCCTGGTCATCCTAGATCTCTCTCTGCAGACAAGTCTGGCCTTGAACTCAGAGGTCTGCCTCCCTCTCTCTCCCAAGTGTCGGGATTAAAGGTGTTTTTAATGGCTCACTGATGCCATTAAAGAGGAGGGGTTGGGACAGCTTCTGTGGACCTGTGAGGTACCACTAAACTCAAGTAAGGAACCTCTGGGAGCTTAGAATGGGAATGGGCTTGCTTGAGACTCCAGAGCCATGCTGGGACTGGAGTTTTCATGCAGGCCCTGGTCTCTCTGACAACACATCACCACTCTGTACCCAGATGCTAAGTGACGGGGTCAGGGATAGACGTGTGTAGACAGCTGGAGCCAGGGGCTGTCAGACTCCCTCCTAGTAAACGAGAAACCCCTCTGGGTCACCTTCAAGGGAAGTCAGGGCCTTCAGTCTGGAGGTTCACCCCTGAGTCTGACTTTAGTCGTTTATGCCATGTGTGGTTTAACTTCATTTTACCATGCTGCACTTTCTGGAGGTACAGATCTCCTTAGGCCCCATGGTTTGGACAAGAGAGGAGAGGCCATTTTGGGAGAAACGAGCAGACTTCAGCTCTCTCAGCTAGATCATGACAACTAGGGGCTTAAGTGTGAGTAACACAGCCCTAAGAACTCTGAGTTTTGAGTGCCTGATTAGATAGAGTGAGATAGGCAAATGTGGGTGGAGTCAGCCATGGCCTAAGGGGTTGTTAGCAGGGGGAAGGGGCACTTAGGAAGTTTGCCTCTGCCGGGGCTGTAGCTTGCCTTATCCTGCTGGTGGCTTGTGGCCGAGTGAAGAACTAATCTTAGTCTGGCTCCAGGCAGCAGTTTTCTGCTGGGCAGAGCCTGGGGAGACTGACTCTTTGGGTGGGGATGACCTACAAGTGTCAGCCAGAGGATGGGGAGACCGACCCTTTGGGTCGGGATGACCTACGAGCATCAGCCAGAGGCGGACTACAGAGATAGGCGGGTCAGGAGAATGTGTCCAGGAGGCCTCAGATATGTAGTAGAGCCCTTGAAACTGGAAGTAGGAGGCCTCTGCAGAGGGAGGGTGGGTGAGGGGAGAAGGTGGTCAAAGAAGGGTTTAGGCATCAGAGCTATTGGGGCTGGGGACCTTTCTGGGAGCCAGTCCTTCCTGCATGGGACCGGGGAGTTCTACACTGGAAGCTTTGGTGGTTTGGTTTGGTTCCTTGCAGGGCATGGCCTTGGTCTCTCTGCTGTGGTTGGGAAGGGCCAGCTGCACACTGCACACTGTCATGGACCTGGGCCACTGTGGGGTCCACACAGGCCGGAAGGAGGGAAGAAATGGGCCATGTGTCTGTTCCTGGGATGTCACATTCAGGAGCGTAGCACCTTAAGCCGCACTGCAACCAGTTTGTCCTTGACTCTGTGTACATGGTTCGAGTGTGTGAGCATGCTGGTCATCCTGCTGAACTGTGTGACCTTGGGCATGTACCAGCCATGCGACGACATGGAATGCTTGTCAGACCGCTGCAAGATCCTGCAGGTGAGCCTCCGAGTTGTTCCTTCCCCCCTCCCAGCTGGGGTGTCCTCTCAACTTCAGGGCTCCACTCTGGCACCTCCTACTTCTCCTACCTCACTGCCCCTCCAGCCCCCTTTGGTTCCTCACCCCAGCCCATTCACACCAGTGAAGTGCACTGGCTGACGCTTCTCTGCTTATAGCCTGCCTGGTTCCCTAGTCGTCCCCCTCCCCATGTCTTTTAGGAGTGTCCTCGTGCATTTCTCTTGTTCTTGCTTCTCAGATCCTGGGTGGGCCCTGATGTGGCATCTGCGTGGGTGGGCAGGGTTTGAGGAACCATCAAACAGGGCTCCAGGGCTGCACCCATTTTGCAGAAGTAGCATATTTGAGGCCCATCCCTGGGAGTCAGACCTGAGTTTCATTTTAATTCCGCTATGTAGTTGCTGTGTAACCTGGGGCAAGTTGCTTGACTTCTCTGGGTCTTGCTTATTTAGCTCTAAAGTGGGCTACCCAATGTACGCCATTGCAAGAATTAGGGGTGAGAATGTAGTTCCACCATCTGTCCTAGTGTTTGACAGTTAGCAGAGATAATGAGGGAGAGCCTGGTGCTCAGCCCTGACATTTGTCATTGCCTAAGCTAAAACGATGGAGAAAGTGGGCTGTGTAACCTTGGTAACTTCATCCCTTCTCTGGGCCCGGGACTCCTCTCTGTGAAGTGGTTGAGTGGACCAGGGCCTCGGAGGTTCTCTTCCTGCCCCACCTTTGACCCCACAGTGGCTCTGACTTCCACTCTTGCCCTGAGAGTTCACTCTGTCCTGTGCTGTCTTTCTCCGGCCACGCAGGTCTTTGATGACTTCATCTTCATCTTCTTCGCTATGGAGATGGTGCTTAAGATGGTGGCCCTGGGCATTTTTGGCAAGAAGTGCTACCTTGGGGACACGTGGAATCGCCTGGATTTCTTCATCGTCATGGCAGGGTAGGTAATGAGCTGTTGTTGATGCATGCCAGCTGCCGCGTAGGTAGCCCAGGGGCTTCTGGGGGCTGATGGTGATGCTGTGTGAGGATGTGGGGCCTCTGGTTCAGGGGACAGGAGAAATGGTGCCCTCTGTGGACAGACAGCTGTCCGGTCCTTCGGCCACCATGAACATCTCTCCTAGATGGGCAGTGTAGACTGGGTGTTTTATGATGATTAATTGAATGCTTTTGAGAAAGTCACTTAACTTTGTGGAGCCTCCATTTCCCCAACTGTAAAACAGGAGGAAAGAGATTCACTCGGTCAGAATGAACACCAGGAAGTGTTGCTGCCATCAGCAGCAGCAGCACCACCATCACCATCATAACCATCACCATTATTATTATCATCATTGTCACTTTCATCTCCGCCTCTCTCACTACCTTGCTGTTATCATTAGTCATCACCACCACCATAACCTCTGTTATCATTGCCATCATCATCATTATCATTAGCCTCACCATCATTATGATCACTCACCATCATCTCATTTTCACCGTCATAATTATAGTCATCTTCATTGCCACATCATCTTCTTACTGCAAACTGTCATGATTAAAACCATCATTATCATAACCATTATCGTTATCCCCATGACTGCCATCATCATCATCACCGTAACCATCACCACCATCATCTCCACAGTTATCATCACCACCACTATTGTTACCATCGTTGTCACCATCGTCATTGTCACCACCACATCCTCATCCCTACCACCTTTACCATCATCACTGTTATCACTACCATCATCACCGCCATCATCACCGTTATCACAACCATCATCACAGTCAGCATCACCATTATCACCACCATCATCACCGTTATCACAGCAATCATCACCACCATCATCACCGTTATCACTACCATCATCACCGCCATCATCACCGTTATCACAACCATCATCACAGTCAGCATCACCATTATCACTACCATCATCACTGTTATCACAGCCATCATCACCACCATCATCACCGTTATCACTACCATCATCACCACCATCATCACCGTTATCACTACCATCATTACAGTTATCACTACCATCATCACTGTTATCACTACCATCATCACCGCCATCATCACTGTTATCACTACCATCATCACCGCCATCATCACTGTTATCACTACCATCATCACCGCCATCATCACTGTTATCACTACCATCATCACAGTCAGCATCACCATTATCACTACCATCATCACCGTTATCACAACCATCATCACCACCATCGTCACCATCATCACCACCATCATCACCATTATCACTACCATCATCACAGTCAGCATCACCATTATCACTACCATCATCACCGCCATCATCACTGTTATCACTACCATCATCACAGTCAGCATCACCATTATCACTACCATCATCACCGTTATCACAACCATCATCACCACCATCGTCACCATTATCACTACCATCATCACCACCATCATCACCATTATCACTACCATCATCACCGTTATCACTACCATCATCACTGTTATCACTACCATCATCACAGTCAGCATCACCATCATCACCGCCATCATCACCGTTATCACAACCATCATCACCACCATCATCACCATTATCACTACCATCATCACCACCATCATCACCGTTATCATCACTACCATCATCACAGTTAGCATCACCATTATCACTATTATGGTTGCTCAGCAGTCTGGATAGAGGGCAGATTTAGACGTCCTTTGACCCCATTTCTGGTCACTTCTAATGAAGCACGAATGGCTTTAGTGGGAGGATCACTTAACCCAGGAATTTAAGACCAGCCTGGGTCATCGAATAAGACTTGATGAAAAAGAAAAAGCCACATTCTACAGTCAGAGAAGCCAGGGGAAACTAGGTCCCATTTTACCCATTTGGAGCGTCACTCAGACTTCCTTCCTGCTTTCCTGGAGTCTGTTCAGCAGCCAGGGATGCAGAGGGTTCTGCTGAATGTGGGTGCTGCCTGGAGGCCAGCTGAGGGGGAGAGAAGGCCACATGCAGGCCAGTCTTGCCAGGCTCACTGGCTAGGACAGTGTCCATAGCTCTGCCGTGGTGAGGTCTGCCCACACTTGGACTAGGGCTCTGAGCAAGGTGCTGTATTTTGCTGAGATCATTTGACCCAGGAGCCTGATGGAACCAGGCTTGGGACACGGGGACTTGAATTCTGTCCTGAGAAGGTAGCACATGGGAGGCAAACAGGTACTAACCATACTTAGCCAGGGCTCCACATGGCAGGAATCAGGAAAGAACAAGGCTGGTGACCAGGGAAGTGTGCATGCCCGGTAGTGTGTGTGTGAGCATATGTATGTGTTTGCACACGAGTACTTTGCCATCCGTAAGGGACAGCGGAGACACCTACAAATGACTAGAGTAGCAGTCCAGGAGTTCTCAGGCTCTGTCCTGAAACGCGACAGTTTGTGTCCCCACTCTGTTCCAAGCATCCCTTCCTGATGGTGCTCTTCAGACTCCAGGCCCCCTTGTCCCTAGGGATTTGGAGCCCACCTGAAGACAGGTAGACATCAGATGGTTTCTTGGGTACCAGGGCATCACCTTTGTCAGGTGCATTTTCCCTGGGGCTGACTGGAGAATACCCGTAAGTAGAGTTTCAAAGGAAAGGTTTTGGAGAGTATCAGTTTTTAATATTGGCTGTGCAAGCTCATCCCTTTGATCTTGGGATGGGAAGGACGGAGTGTGTCTGCTCTTTCATAGGACTGTGACTTTACTCTCTTAGAACTGGTGACATTGTGCCACGTGAATCGATAGCATGGGGCTGCACGGAGCCCAAACCTTTGTCCAGCTGAGAAACTGGCTGTTTTCCTCCTTGTCTTCAGAATTCAGGCTTTCTCCTGGTTATCTAGAACTTGTGGTTCCAGCTTCAAGGGCCCCGTTGGCTCAAAGTACTTGCCCTGTTTCTTCTTTGATTTTCTAACTCATTCTCCTGCTCTGTCTTCCTCAAGTTCCTGTTAGCTGGACTGTCTCTCCCTTCTCTTGTCTCTGTATCTGTCCTGTGTTCACCTGGCACAAGAGGGAGTTCTGGACTCAGCTTTGTGTGTCACCCCTGGCTCAGCAGGGTCCATTCCCCCTTCCCTGCCCCTGCTAGAATTGTCCCCTTCTCTGTCATTTCCATCCCCTGGATGTCTTCTTGCTGTTGTGTTGTCTGGGTTTTGGAACAGTTTGTACCTGGTTTTGTTTTATGGTTGTGCTGTTCACCCACATCTCCTTGGAGTACTAATGTTGTTGTTCTAAAGTCCCTGATTCTGGAAGGAAACTTAGATCAGAATATCATTTCCAAAAGCTGAAAAAAAAAACCCAGATGTGAAGAAAAGTGACCCTTGTACAGATACGAGAGTGCCGTGTTGTTCTGAGAAATGTCCCTGGTTATTCCGCTGACTCGGGGACAGGTGAGGTGGTGACACAGCATCTGGGAGCAGGTGTAGAAGAGGAAGCACTCGAGCTGAGTGATGATGTGGTGATGGCCTCCCACGAAGACAGCGCAGGCTGGCGATAGGCAGAAGTCTTTCCTGTTGGGCAGAAATTGCATCCATCTTTGCCTGGTAAAAATCCACAAATCAGCTTGCAATTTCCCAGTGGCTACACCTTTTAATTAGCAGGAAAGAATAAATCAAACAAAGGTATTGTCCCCTAGATACCGAAGAATCATCAGGTACATCTGTTAGCTCATGCTAACAAGGCCTCGCTGTGCAGCCCTGACTAGCTTGGGCCTCACTATGTAGACTACGCTGGCTGTGGAGTCACAGAGATCATCTGCCTTCAACTTTCCAGTGTTGAGATGGAAGGTGTGCGGCACATTAGACAGCTTTTCCCAACTCTTGTCTCACAAATGTCATTTTGTTGGCTGGGTCTACCCTTCCCGTCTCGAAGCTCTCCGGCCCCTGCCGCACAGACCGCAAGCTCAGCTCTGTTTCTTGTTCCCCTCCTGTGTGCTGGCACACTGGGATCTCCAAGCTGAGCAAGGAGAGGACCTGGACCAGCCTCAACACCCAGTTCTTGGGACAAGTTGGGAGGTAGGATCTTCTGACCGCCACCCTTAGCATCAGGAAAAGCTCGCACGGGGCTGATAGCAAAGCATGTTTTCACAGTCTTACTGTATGAACTGAGTGTGTGTGTGTGTGTATGTGTGTGTGTGTGTGTGTGTGTGTGTGTGTGTGTGTGTGTGAGAGAGAGAGAGAGAGAGAGAGAGAGAGAGAGAGAGAGAGAGAGAGCCCTGCATTGTCACCTCCACTGTGACCTACAGATGATGCAACTTGTCCATCAGCTTCCTGGGAGACTTTCTCAGAGTCAGAACACCCGCAGGCCTACCCTGTGCTAGATGCGGAAGCAGACCTACTGTTGTCTGTAGGGTCTTTACTATCCTAAGAATGGTGTGGGTGGAGAGGGCAGGGTGATGGTTATAGCTGGTATTCCAGAGCCCAGTTTTGCCCTTCCCACCCCCACCTGGTTCTTACCACCTCCAGAGCTGCCCACCCATCCCCCCAAGTCCCACCAGTACTATAAACGTTCTGTTTCCAGAGTAACAGGCCTGACATCCCAAGGATATTTCTTCCCTTCCTGCTCCACCCCTTCCCCAAATTACCGGCTGCTTCTTCCAAGACACAGAGGGTGACACAGAACCTTTGAGTTGCAAGGTTCCTTAGAGGTCACAGCCGTGCTGAATTGAGACGGGAGGCCCCATTTGTACGCTGCTCCGGCAGAGAGCTCACTATCATGCAAGGCAGCCAGTCTCAAATCGGAACAGAAGAAAGAGCTGGGAAGTTCCTTCACTTCGCTAAACTCTGCCTGTCTGTGGCTTCCACCTGTTAGTACCGTTCATTCTCAACTCGGCATTTACTGAGGTGCTATTGGACACCAAACTGTCCTGGGAAGTGGGGATACAAGATAAGGGAGACAGACGCCCTTCCTGACGTCATGGGGCTCAGAGTGTAGAAAAGAAATGCAAAACACACATCAC